AGCAACTGTTCTTTCCATTCTATTTCGAGTAAGACAAGTACATCAAATATCAATTGGGTACATGCACTTCAAGAAGAAGGTCGCGGATACCACCACACGTGACCCATGATGTCAGCTCGATCAGATAGTTTATAAGCAAAATGACGCGTTAAAGTTGAGCTAAATTTTTCCACATAAATTAAAATGTTAACTAACATGAAGTTAATTAAATGCAGCGTTGTATCGCACATTGAATTTGTTAAAATATATTCTTTCTTGTCTACGTCTTTTACTTAGCTGAGATTTATTATTTGTTTGTGTATTTCACTATAACCGTGACATATTTTTGATTTGTGTACCTGGCAACTTCGATGCACAATTGGTTTGTTTATGTTCATTTGGCGTCATGCCTGTCATTGTGATAAGTAAAAAATATACAGTGAAAGAATCTTTGTGCAAGAATGTAGAATGCGGCACTTAAGAGAATTGATACATGACGGGCTTGGCTTACTCGACATATAACGGGAAGAACAATTGCTAGCCTAAACAACTGCCACGTTTTAGCAACTAATCCCGATCGACATACCCACACTACGTTACTTGCAGGTATTCTATTCTCTTAAGTGTCACATTCTACATTCTTTCGCAAATATTTCAATTATTTCATTATATATTTCTTACTTAACACAAAGACAGGCACGATGCCATGATGAACATAATCTAACTAATTATGCATCTAAGTTGCCAGGGACATAAAACAAAAATATATCATGGTTATAATGAAATACTTAAATAAATAATAAATCTAAGTTAAATAAAGGACGTATATGAAATTATATTTTAACAAATTCTGTGTGCAATACGTTGTATTTAATTAACTTCACTTTAATTAACATTCTAGCTTATGAGGAGAAACTTAGCTCGACTCTAACACGCCTTCTTGTTTATAAACGATCAGCTGGCGTTCAGGTTTTAGTCGCATGCTTGTGTATCAGTAATTATCTTCTCGAGTTGTAAGTACCCAATTATAGTAAAAAGTAAGTTACGATAAATTTAGAATAATCTATGAGGTTTCAAACGCTTAAAAAATTTCTAATTAACAAAATACAAACGAATTATAATTAGATTACTTAGGTTAGTGAGAAAGTTATTTCGCAATAACTTTTTTTCAGTTTGATATTTTGAAAAATTTTTTTAAGCCCCTGAAATTCCATGGTTTATCCTTGGCTTACCTAACTTCGTTTTTTTCTATACTTTAAATTTTAAAATCCCAATGGAGGTGACACAGAATTTGCAATGAAAAGTTTCTACCGCGGTGAAGCATTTTTATAATAGGTAATCCTCTAAAGAGGAAATCAAGAGGGACATGAAAAATAACATGAATTGAGATCAACATGAAAAATAAGTGAATCTATGAATAAATAAACTAAATAAATAAATAAAATACGTAAATAAATAAAATAAATAAATAAAAATTAAATAAAAATAAATTGAATAAAAATAAATTAAATAAACAGCAAAAAAAGTAAATAAAAAAAAATAAATAAAAAATTATAAAATATTAAGAAAAAACCAAGAAACGACCAAGAAAGTGAATTACAGAATTACCTTTAAATAGTTTGGTTTACTTATACAAACTAAATTCATATGACAATTTCGGTTCAGACTTTTTATTTTTCATCAGTATTTCTAAGAGTTTGATACTTCTTTAGACGCAATCATTACCTGCAACAATTCTTTATATATTTCGCTATTGCTGCATAGGATTTAATAATTCTTTTAATTCTTGTGAGTGTCTAATTCTTGTGAGTCCTCCCTTCTAGTAGGCTGTCATATGTGCTGATATGTTTATATGTGCTGAAATTTCGTTTAAAAGCAGCTTATGTAAACGGAGTGCTTATACAACTTATGCGGAGTGTTCATTCACTTTAAAATTAGTAATTTCTTGGTTTGCTGCGTCACAGTGTGTTGCATCAACATAATTTACACTACAAAAAATTTGCATAATTTACTCAGCAACAACTTCACAGATTTAAATCTTCAAAACTTTGACATATTTACTTTAAGAGAACTTGACGTGCTTTATTCTTCAAAAATTTAAAAATATACTTAAAACTATTTGTAGAAAAATACCAATAAATTCAGCATTTTATAATTTGAATTTGACTGAAACAATTTTTCTATATTCAGCTGATTTTAAATATTTTCCTTTTTTTAGAAATAGATTATTGATCAAATAAAATTTTAAATATATTTATTAAATAAATTATTTAAAATTTTATAATGCTTAAAAAATATTCTATTTTTCCTTATTATTTGGAACACATTTATTTCGAAGATGAAGTGCTTATATGATCTGAAATTTCATTTGAAATCCGACAAGGGCAGCTTTTGTATATTTTACGGTAAGCCCACTCTCATTAAAATTAGTAATTTCCTTCTTAATGATTAAACAAATGTAGCTATAATTATAAAAGTGGTGTCTAAATCATGCAAAGTAGCTGTGTGCTAAAAGCCCATTTACAGTGTCGCAGTGTGTTATACTCCACAAAAGCTTGACATATTTTACTTCGCAGCAAGCGGACAGATTTCATTCTGAAGAAATTTGTCACATTTTACATAACAAAAACTTTACACATTTTATTTTTCTAAGAGATGACAGATTTCATTCTAAAAAAATTGATATATTAACTCTGAGATAACTTGAAATTTTTTTTCTTCAAAAAATTTAAAAGTATACTTAAAAGAATTTGTAGAAAAGAACCCAAAAAATTCAGCATTGAATGATTTGTATTTGATTGAAACAAGTCTATATTTAGTTGATTCTAAATATTTTCTCTCTTCAGAAATAAACGTTTATTTAGAATTTTATAACTTTATTTTTTATTTGTGCAGAATTTCAAAGAATCAAACTTGTAAACTTTAAGTGTACGTTCAAGGTTAAACTTTGTCTTATGTCTTAACTTACGTGGCATTTTTTTAAAATCTTAAATTCAAATTGCTTCACCTATCAAATAAAAAATTTCCTTCACCGATGTTTTGCTTTGATGATTATTCTCATTAATACGGAGTAGTTGTTCACCGTGAAGCAATATCAAACAAAAATAATTCTCATCTTCTCCTTTCGATTCTTCTCCTTTTTTTCTCATTTTTTAATTTTCCAGGAAATAGTATTACAGAATTGTAATGAAATACTTTAAAGGAATACAATAGTAATTTTGTCATATTTCTCTTTATTTCGATTCGGTTAGCAATAAAAAAATAATAGGCTTACGGAAATTGATTTACCTTGCTTCAGAAAAGCGGATCTAAGAGATTAAGAAAAGCTTCACTAACTTTAGATTTGTTAATGAGGATTATTCAATTAATGATCTCACTTAACAATTTTTGCAAGATTTATTAATGATATTTTTTAAAAGATTGGAATCTCAATACCATATTTCAAAATTATCATCCGAAAATTCTTAAACGACAATTATTTAAAAAATTTACTTTAAAAAAGGATTTAAGAAAATTTGTTTTACCAATTTTTGTTAACAGTACTGGTTAAGTTAATTATAATAATTTTTATTCTAGTTTAAGTTTGCAGTGACTTTTAGAAGCTAATGATTATTTTTAAAGTGTGCATCCGTATGCTTAGAGAATATCAGTTAATTTATCACAGAATCAGAATGTTTGTACCAGAATTTTATAACAGTGTTAGAACAATATCAGAATGAAAATGTTCATGTTAAGTCATTACACTGAGAATAAAAGTATGGTTAAAATGTGATGATTAATGATTTAGGTAAAATTAATAATAAAATATGGTTTTATAATATGTGATAAAAATTGGTAAATCTTTAAAATTTGATTATTATACTTTAAAGCACGGCATAATAATCATTTATTCGGTTAAATTCACTTTTCTGTTTTGTATCTTTTACTAAATGTGTGGAAATAATCATGATAATTTTGAAAACAGCATTCTGGTAATCCGTAACCATAGGAACGGAAAAGTTACGAAATAAGTGGTTTTACACCATATATTTTGGTTTTATTTACCATAATAAGTTGGGTTTTTTTATCAGAAATTTCATTACTGATTATTATATAGTTTTTCCAGAATTTCTTTTCTCTATGTAAAGTGTTATTATAATATGAAGACGAGAGTGTTTTAAAGGTCAAGAACGTTTATGCTAGAATTTTATAACAGTGTCAATTCAATATGAGGACGAAAATGCTTATAACAGATTTTATAACACTGTCAGTACAATATAAAGGCGAGAATGTTTATACCAGAATTTCATAACAAAGTTAGTACAATATAAGGACAAATATGTTTACACTAGAATTTTATTACAGACAGTGCATGATAAGAACTGAGATATTTATAACAGTGTTAGTAAAATATAAGAGCAATTAATCTTTATGGAAAATATTCTCAAGAAAACTGATGAGAATTTAGAAATTTTAGGAATGTTCGCAATTTGTTTTAAAAATATTAAAAAAATGAGCAATATTACTAGTTTTTGAGAACAAGTTATTGTTTTTTCTCAGAGTACTGTGACTATTGAGCGTACTGTGACTTCTGAGCAAACTGTGACTTCTGAGCGTACTGTGACACCTTAAAATATTAATTTCATTAATACTTTAAGACTGATATTTAAGTATATATAGATATCAAGACATATTAATATATATTTAAACATTTAAGTATGAAAATTTAAATATATAAGTTTTTAGACAGGTTTGAAGAAAAGTTAACGAGTTTACAGTAATTTTTATTTTAATGGATTTTTACTGTAACACTATCTTAAAATCACGTATAATAGAATTGAAATCAAAGCAGCTTTTCACTATTATCTTCCAAAACAATTACGAGGCGTTTTAAGAAAACAGCAAAATACGCGTTATGAATAATAACCTGACGAATAAACACGATGTCATCACATATTCTTTGACCATAATTCACCCCTTCCTCACCCATCTTCTTCTTCTTCCTCAGCATCATGCGTGACACACAAGAAGAGGGGAAAAGAAAAACACCGCCAATCTCGTCTTTGCAAAAAGATAATCTATAAACCCCCGCCAAACTGCTGCAACCAGTTACTAAATCATCTATCGGCTGATAAAGATAATGTGAGAGGTTGTGTGTTAGGAGAGGAAATTTAAAAACATCCACAAATAAAGAAAAACAGCTTTGGTGAGCGAGTTGCTTTTTCACCTCGAGTTGTTAAGCGGAGATTAAGCGGTTCCGGTGGTGAATTAGAAAGTTGAACTGTGTGAATTAAGAGGAATCGCTTGATCCTTAGAAGAAAAGTGAGGGAGTTTTAAAGAAAAAGATTATTGCTTGATTTTTAACCCTTGATTGCTTTTTCGTTTGTTTCCTTGGTACATTTAATATGTCTGGAGTGTGGTTTGTTGTGAGTATTCCGACCGAGTCTTTTGAGAGGAAGTTGAGACACCCAGAAGATTTGAGAAAGGAGAAACCCCAAGGTAATTTAAGATCGAATAAATTTTAAGAAATTTTTAGAAATTAGAATAGAAAATTGATGAAAAGAAGGTTGCTTTGTTGGAATGCTAGTATACAATAATTACTGATTTCTTAAATCAATCAAAAATGGAAAGTTCGATATTTCGCTTAATGAATTTATCATTTATTGACAATGAATAAAATTTGTTCTATTAAATAAAACACATTTTAAATATTTATTTAATAAATTTTAGTAAAATAATAATTATAATAATGTGATAATATTCATAAATAATAATTTAATAATAATTATAAATAATAATTTAATAATAGTTATAAATAATAATTTAATAATAATTATAAATAATAATTTAATAATAATTATAAATAAAAATATAATAATAATTATAAATAAAAATATAATAATAATTTTATAATAAATAATAATTTTAATAATATAAATTTTAAATAATGCGGAAAAAGCTGTTTTGTTGGATTGACGTTATTTACCGAAAACACATTACAATAATTATAGATTTATAGTTAAGAGAAAAAAGTATGATAAAAACTACCAGAATATATTAAAATCTACTGTATTTCTGGCTCTATGGAGACACTAAAAAGCTCGGTACTTTTAAACGAATCGCTTTAGTTAGGAGTTTGGTAAAACTAGCAATAAAATATGGTTTTATAATATGTGATCAAATTTGGTAAATACGATAGTTTTGTCATGATGCCTAAGAGCATGTCATAAAAGCGTTCTTTTTTCGATTAAATTTACTCTTCAGTTTTGTATTTTTTACTAAATGTGTGGTAATAACAATTATAATTTTGAAAACCAGAATTTTTAGTGAACCATTACCATATAAATGGAAAAATTACCAAATAAATGCCTTAAATACTGTATATTTTGGTTTTATAAACCAGAATTATGTGTTTGTTTTTACGAGAAATTTCATTACTATACATTACGGTAATTTTACCAGAATTTTCTTTCTTCGTGATTAGACCAATCATAAATAGAAACTTTGACACGTCGTTTAATGAATTTACCATTGATTTATAACTAAGAAAATTTTTTCTATTTAATAAAAAAAAAAACTTTGAAACATTTATGAGACATTAGATTAGACACATTAGTTTTTAAGAAATGCAAAGATTGCTTTATTGGAATGTTGGTAAGGTATAAGTGTTGATTTATTAGATCAATCATAGATAAAAAAAATTGATATTTCATTAAATTAAGAATAAACCAATGATCCTCTGTGGAACCTTTAACCAGACATTTTAAATAATGAGAAGAAGACTGTTTTATTGATATACTTATGTATATAATGAGAACGGATTTTTTAGGATCAATTATAAATGGAAAATTACACATTTCATTAAATTTACTATTGATTGATAATGTAGTAAATTTGTTCCATTTCATAAAACATCTTTAAAGCATTTATCAGAGAGAACATTCAGTAATTTTTTTAAAAATATTTAAAGAAGGCAGCTTTATTGGAATATTGCTATGTAGTACTGTTTTACTTAGTGTAAAATGGATATCTTATTGTAAAATGTGTTTTTGTATATAATATATAAAATATTCAAAAAATTTCTTTTAACTAGCTTTCCTATTTTTACCTTCTATGACTTATTTCGAAATGAAGTTGAAGAAACTATACTTATAGTGTAAAATAACGATTGTTTTAACAGTGCTATGATACATTTCTTAAAACTATGCTCAAAATATATTTTTTGGAATATATGATCGAGGAAAAAACAAAGCTCTTTAAACAGATTTCGTAGCTTTTTATTATTTCGCATAACACTATGAAAAAAAATATGGAAAAATCTACAAGAATATGGTAAAATTAACCTTGTCTCTGGCTTTATGATTTTGATAAAATTAAAAATGAAATTAGATTTCATAATATGTGATAAAATTAGGTAAATGTGATAAAGTTTGGTAATTTTATCATTGTACTTAAAAGCATGGCATAGAAACCATATGGTTGGTTAAATTTACTTTCAGTTTTGTAATTTTTTACTAAATGCATGGCAATCAGAACTGTAGTTTTGAAAAAAAAAATTAACCGTTACCATGCGAACAGAAAAATTTCCAATTGAATGGTTTAAATACCATATATTTTGGTTTTATTTACGAAAATTATGTTTTTCCTTGCTTTTCTTTTCTTTCTTTTTTTACCAAAAACACTATGCAATACTGTTGTTTTATTAGAATTTATTTTCTACGTGGAGTATTCTTGCATTGTAGTATATTCAAAAGTACTATTCCTAACGCCTTAATAATTATTTTGCACTTTATGTCATTAACAGTTATTTTTAATAAATTTAGAGAAATGAAAAAGCGCATACATTCATTGGAAATACTTTAAAATTTGGTAAAAGTGGTAAAATTTGTTTTTAAATTTACTTTTTAGTTTTGTATTTTTAATAATTGTGTGATAATAAGAACTATAATTTTGAAAATCAGAAATTTCGCCAAACCGTTACTATATGAAAGGAAAAATCACCAAATGAAGGATTTAAATGCTGTATATTTTGGTTTTATTTACCAAAATTATGCTTTTTCCTTGTTTTTCTATTCTTTCTTTTTTTACCAAAACCACAATGCAATACAGTTGTTTTATCAGAATTTATTTTCTTCGTGGAGTACTCTTGCATTGTAGTATATTCAAAAGTACTATTCCTAGCATGTTAATAATTGTTTTGCACTTTATGTCATTAACAGTTATCTTTAATAAATTTAGAGCAATGAAAAAGCGAATACATTTATTGGAAATACTTTAAAATTTGGTAAAATTTTACTTTAAATTTACTTTTTAGTATTGTATTTTTAATAAATGTGTGGTAATAAGAACTATAATTTTGAAAATCAGAAATTTCGCCAAACCGTTACTATATGAAAGGAAAAATCACCAAATGAAGGATTTAAATGCTGTATATTTTGGTTTTATTTACCAAAATTAAGTTATTTTTACTAATTTTTTCTTTTTAAAGAAATGCCTTTATCATTCAATATGGTTGTTTTATCAGAATATTTTTTTTATCTCCGAGATTTAATCTCGCTTTGTAGTATATTCAAACGTAGGTATTCCTAATGTATTAATAATTATTTTTCACTTTTGTCATTATCATTTATCTCGAATAAATTGACAGTAATGAAAAAGCAAATAAATTTATTGGAAATGCATTTAAGAAAACAATGACTCCAAGGTTGTATTTTGAGTAGTGTAATTATAAATAGAAAATTAATAAGCATATTAATATTAAACATATTAATAATATCGGAGCATTCTTATTATGGTATATGATATGGTATATATAATATGGTATAGTATAAAATATGGTATATTGATCCAGCTAAAAATTTCAAAAAATTAATTAAGTTTGGAAAATAGACTGTTTTTAAAATTTCTAAGCAGCCAAAACACCGTGTAAACTATCGCCCAATTCTAAATAGGATTTTTTGTAAAAAATAATTTATCATTGTTGAAATATGTAATTTAAAAACAAATTTTAGTATTTTTTGGATGTACCCTACAGCTTCAAATTAATTGCAAAATTATATTTTTGGCTCGAACTTTTAAATAACCGAGTAATTTAAAAGATCAGAGATAGTTAGTTATTCGCGAAACCTGTATAAGTTATTCCTGTATAAGGATTGCGAATTTCGAATCGCAGTTTTTACTAATTTCTTTTTGATATACTTGTAAATTGATCAGATTAGAATATAGAAATATTGCACTAGGACTGAAGGTAGATAAGACTAGCAAAAAGTTTATGCAGGTCATCAATAAATTAAAAAAAATTATTTTTAAAAATGTGCTAACTTCAGTTTGAAGAGTTAGTTAGAAGAGATTCGGAAAATAAAATCCGTTCCCAGTAAAAAAAAAATATTTATTAAATTTTTTGTTGCTAACCATAACGAAATTTCTGTTTCAAATCTATGAAGACAAAAATACAAAACATGGTCATTTCGTATCTCTTATTTTCCTTGCACGGGTCAGATAGTTGGTTGTAATTAAGTATTTAATTTATCAGCAACGATACTTTTCATTTAAGCAAGGGTGAGGAGTCAGTACTTTGACACCATTTTTAAAATTTATAGTGCTGCCAATTATACTTTCCATCCAAATTTACAAAACTTTTTAAAACAGGAATGAGATTTTTTAAGAATTTTTCTCGCATTTTTTTGCTTTGCATCAAAATTGGTCTCAATTTTTAAAAAGGAAATCTGATTTTAAAATAATCAATATTTTTCATTTTTACTACCCATAAATATTTCAAATTTTTTCAAGTTTTTGTTTTAGGTTAATGTTGAAAAGAATGAGTCAAAAATCGATTCTTTCATCTAAATTTTTAAAAACCGAACTAATTTTTCAAACTTACAGAAATTTTTTAAAAAAAATTTTCGCATTTTTTTATAAAAAATTATCACAAAAATTCCATTACTTCCTTATTTTTTAAACTGATAATTAAATTGAAATTTTTATTATGTTAAGTTAACTATTATAATAATATATGAATAAAATGCTTAAGAATAAATTTTAAATGTGTATTAATTACAAAATTTTTAAAAACAATTTTAAACTAAATTTGGAATTAGAAATCTTGGATACCGTAAAAATTACAATAAAAACATTTTAAACTGATAGCTATTTATAAATTTTCCTAAGTTATCGATTTTTTATGTGTTATAGTCAGAGCTTGGGAAATACGGTAGGCTGGATGACATGGATGTCTATAAGTAAATAATAAAATGGTAATCATAATAAATTTAATAAAAATAAATTTCATAAAAATATATATAAAATAAAAATTGCTAATCATAACAAATTTTGTGTGGAGACTATATTTTTAGCTTTTCAATTATGATCTGACATTTCATTTTTAAAATTAAGTATTTATTTAAAAAAATTGGTCTGAGAATTGACTTCAAGCATAATTATTTTTCGCAATCTCTGTATTTTCTACAATTGTCTGAAAAAAATCCTATTTTTCCATTCCT